TCTCTCTCTCTCTCTCTCTCTCTCTCCAGTGTGTTGTAAACAAGAATAAAACTGGTAATCTTTGAAAACAACATTTACCTGAAAGCACCATGTATATCAGTTTCCTTGGGCTGCTGTAACAAATTACTTCAAACTTGATAATTTAAAACAGGAATGAGGCTAGAAATTCTTGGGGTCAAAGTGTCATATGGTTGGTTCTTTCTGCAGGCTCTGAGGGAGAAACCTGCTCCATGTCTCTCCCCTAGATTGTGGTGGCTGTCAGCAATCATTGGCATTCCTTATCTTATAGACACATAATTCCAATCTCTGCCTTCAGATGGCCTTCTTCCCAGTGTGTCTTCTGACTCTTATAAAATCATGTCAGGGCTGGAGATATAGCTCAGTTGGTAGAGTGCTTGCCTCATATGCATAAGGCCCTGGGTTTAATCCCCAGCACTACACACACACACACACAAATCATTAGATTTAGGACACACCCAATTAATCCAGGATGATCTAATTTTGAGATTCTTAATTACATCTGCAAAAGACACTTATTCCAAATAAAGACACATTTGTAGATTCTGGGAGGACATATATCTTGAGACCATCTAACCCATTATCCCAATTTAGAAGTTCAGTGAATACTTGACAATAGGAATACTTGCTGGATCTCTAGATGATAAAAATATGAGAATAGGAGAGATTTCTTGAAATGCTCAATTGTTTCCTAGTCAATACACATCCACCAGCCTATAGATTGCCTCTTGAAGTCATTGCTTTCTATATGATTCCGAGTGGTTACTTTTCTACTCAAAACTATCAGGAAACCAATTTTAATGAATTTACAAAGAAGATAAAGGTTTAACTTACTTACATAGCACCAGGTGCAGAAGATTCTATACTCTTGCATCTTACTCATTATGTGCCAAAAACCCTTTTGATAACAATCAGTATGCTTTGGGGCATGATTATGACCTTCCAAAAGGTTCTTTGTCCTGAGATTATGTGCTTGGAAGTTCTTAGCACAATGTTCCTGGAGTTCTAGGAATATTTTTATATGTATATATCCTTTTCTTTCATTAACTTTAGCGGGGTGATTACTTTAGCCAGGCATGGTGGCACACACCTGTAATCCCAGTGACTCAGGGGTCTGAGGCAGGAGGATGGCAACATTCAAAGCCAGCCTTAGTAAGACAGTCTCTCAAAAAGTAAAAAGAGCTGGGGATATAGTTCAATGGTTAAGCGCCCCTGGGTTCAATCCCAAATACCAAAATTAAAACAAAAACAAAACATTGACCCTGGGCATGGTGCTGCAGGCTTACAATCCCCAGTGGCTCAGGATTAAAAAAAAAAATTGCTTTACAAAATGTAAATTATTTGGAAAATGGAAGGTAAAGTGAGACTTCCCATCATAGCTGATCCAAATCAAATATTCTAAATTTTCCAGAAGAACTAATTTTAAATATTATAGTTCTTTGTTTAAAAAATGAATATAGCCCAAGTTTTGATTTGGCAAATATGGTTAGCCTACATGGAGTAAAGCAAGATAGGTTGGCAGTAACATGAATTTTCTAACAAGAATCACAATGTCTAAGGCATTTCAGAGGATAAATAAGGATCTGGGGTAATTAACATCAGAATCCACATGATGAGGTATGAGTATCAAGGCATAAAGAAGAGACAGGAACTAAAGCAAAAGTGTTAAGAGGGTAGATTATAAATAAATACCTTGACTGAATCAGGGTGGTGATTAAGAGGGTTAGCTCTAGTCAGGTACAGTGGTCCAGCCTGTAATCTCATAGGCTCAGGAGGCTAAGACAGGAGAATTGCCAAGTTCAAAGCCAGCCTCAGCAAAAGCGAGGTGCTAAGCAACTCAGTGAGTTGTCTCTGAATAAAATGCAAAATAGAATTGGGGATGTGGCTCAGTGATCGAGTGCCCCTGAGTTCAATCCCTGGTACAACCCCTCCCCCCAAAAAGAGGTTTAACTCTGCTATTAGACTGGGTTCAACTCAGTTTTGCTACTACTACCTAAGTGACTTTGGACAACTTGAGTTTTCTAAGCCTCAGATTCTCCCTATATAAGACTTGGATAATGATAGTACTTACCTCATAAATTTTTTATAAATACCAAATGAGCTGATATATGGAATGTACTTATCTCAGTGTCTGGCATTCAGTAAGTATTCACTAAATGTTAGTTAGCTATCATTACATTTGCATATGCATCACAATTTATAAAGTGCTTCCATGTATGTTATACAATTCTCATAGCAATCCTGTGTTATCACCCCTGTTTTAGAAAAAGAGGGGCTGGGGTTATGGCTCAGAGATAGAGTGCTCACCTAGCATGTGTAAGGCACTGGTTTCAATCCTCAGCACCACATAAATATAAAATAAAGATATTGTGTCCACCTATAACTAAAAATAAATATTAAAAAAAAGAAATAAGAAAAAGAGGTACAGATAAATTAAGAAAGTAATCCAAAGTCTCACAGCCTGGAAATGAGAGGACTAGGATTAGCACTTAAGTAGCATCAAGGTTTTTATATAACATAGCTCCTGTCTCTGAAATTGTGTATGTTGAAGATAGGGTGGAGGAGGAAGAGGCTTTGCAAATCCAAAGGAAAGAAGTACTCATAGTTTAGTCTAAGGTAAGTTTAGAAGAACTTCTTAAAATTCTGGCCTTTTCATCCCATGATTCCTTTTTTTTTTTTTAAACACTGGATCTAAGCCAAAAGGCTTAGAAGTGATAAGTTGATTCCTTTTTTCTTATGTATTCATTTTCAGCTCCAAGAGAAGTATAAATTGAATCTTAGTCTCCCTATCCACTTGATCATTGACAAAAATCAAATACCTACATCTACTGAATTTAGCCAACAGCCATTCCTAGAGTTACTATTTGAAGAGGAAAAAAAGTCTGACGCTTTCAAGAAATTTAGGTATGTGGTAGAAAGACTGATGTTAAATTTTGTTTGATTGCTCTGTGAAACAAAATGCTTTTTTAAAGTTATGCCCAACAGCTTCTGTTTCACTATAATTATGATATGGAACAGGAGTATTAATTTCCTTAGCTAATTTAACAAGAGATTTATTTATGTCTATTTTTACTTAAAAAATATTTAACACCTAATTTTGAGTACCTTATAAAATAGCTAAGAAACTGATTATTTTAACCATATCTAATAAGGAAACTTAGAAGCCTTAACTCTTGTTTTTTTGTTTTTTTTTTTGTCCTTTGCAATAGTAGAAATTGAGGGCTGGGGTTGTGGCTCAGCAGTAGAGCGCTCGCCTAGCATATGTGAGGCCTGGGTTCGATCCTCAGCACCACATAAAAATAAATAAATAAATAAAAGAAAGGTATTGTGTCCAACTAAAAAAATATTTTAAAAAAAATAGTGAAAATTGAACACTGGACACTAAGCTACATCCCCAGCCCTTCTTATTTTTTTTGAGACAAGGCTTTGCTAGGTTGCTGAGGTTTACCTCAAATTTTTCCTGCCTCAGCCTCCCAAGTAGCTAGGATCACATGGCTGTGCCGTGCCAGGCAGGAGCTTTGGAAAAAGGAAACGATATATGGCCTCCATACTTCATGACACTAAGAAGGTAGCTTAAAAATGGATTGGTAGGTACAGTCATGGAAATGCAGCTTTGTTAACTACATCAGCATATTCTGTTTTTCTATCCATTTATCTGTCATAGTGGGCATAACTAATGGTCTTCAGTGTAAGGGGAGGGCATAACTGAACAAGGTAGTGGTGAAGAGAAGAGGGGAGAGTAAGCTCATTTTGATTACTATGGAACTCAAAGCATTTGACTCTTTCACTTAAGGATCTTTGATTTTGCAGACAAGAAGATTGGATGAAAGCCATGTGGCATGCTGATCTGTCTACATCAAGCTACCCAATAACAGAAAAGATGTCAATACATTCACTGTGGGCCCAACTGGGTGGGTACCCAGATATTCCTAGATTGCTACAGTTAGATATTCAGTCTACCTTCAGAAAATCTCTCGCATCCATTCAATCACAGTAAGTAAAGAGTAAATATAGGACTGGGAATACTCTGGAAATTGGACTTTTTTTTTTGTGTGTGTGTGTGTGTGTATTTGTGTATTTGTTTGTTTTATACCAGGGATTGAACCCAGGGCATCTTACCACAGAGCTACATCCTCAGCTCTTTTTATTTTTATTTTGAAACAAGGTCTCACAAAGTTGCTTACGGCCTCACTAAACTGCTGGGGTTGGCCTTAGCAATCCCCCTGTCTTAATCTTCCTGTCTCAGCCTCCCAAATTGCTGGGATCACAGGCATGCGACACCATACCCAGCTGGTTATATATCTTTTGTTTCCTTAATTTGACTTTCTCCTGTAGTACCAAAAGTTAAGTTCTTGGTGTGAGTTTAGACTCACATCAGTTAAATGTACATTTACACATTTACAGGTAAACTCAGCATTAGCTAGTGTTTCTGTTAATAGGCCTGGAGATGTCACCAATAATATCAAACAAATAAACAAACCATTAGTTATAATAACATAAGCCTAATCTAATACTAGATAGGTCCACTTTGAATTCTACCCTTAGGGATTTGTTAATGGAAGTACCAGAAAGACCACTGTAGAATACTTTTATACACATTATGATTCAATGAGAAGATTTTAAATGCAGTTATCATACCTAGATCCAATTTGAGGTAAATTAGTAGAGTTGGTGGTGCACACCTGCAGTCCCAGCAGCTCAGAAAGCTGATGTAGATCAGTTTAGCCTAAAGAGTTTGGGACCAGCTCGGCAACAGTGAAACCATGTCTCAAAACAAATACAAAAATAATTTGAGGTAAATTAGGTGCTTATATCCCAGAATACATTAAAGAGTTATAAAGAGTATGTGTAAGGTGATCATGTGGTTCTACATTTCCAAATTCTGTTTAATCAGTTTTTCATAAACCACTGGAATTCTTTCCAGTGGAAGCAAGGAGTTTTAGAGTCTGAATTGCCTTTTTTTTTTTTAGGACAAAAAATTATTTAATGTGCTAAACAAAGAATTTTGAAAATTAAGCCAGGCATAGTGGTGTATGCCTGTAATCCCAGTGGCTCTGGAGGCTGAGGCAGAAGGATCACAAATTCAAAGCCAGCCTCAACAATTTATTAAGTCCCTAAGCAACCTAGCAATACCCTATCTCAGATTAAAAAATAAAAAAGGACGGGGGGTATAGTTCAGTAGTAAAGCAGCCCTGGGTTCAATCCCTAGCGCCAAATAAATAAATATCCAGAAAGTTGAGGCTTCTCCCTTCTTTCAACTTAGACCATTCAGTTTATAGTCAAAGGAGGACGTGGACAGCTTCTTTTCTCTTTTCTGGTCTAATGCTTCTGTTCCTACTTTTCCAGTTTGCTCTTGTGGTTAGTGATCCCTTAGGGATTAGAGTTCTGGGAAGGGAGGGTAGAGAAGGGCAAAGGAAAATTTATTGGGCAATGTTACCGTTACATTTTCTAACATTGCTTTCTGAATGTGTCAGGGTTTTTGTTGTTGTTTTTTGTGGGGTTTTTTATTTTATTTTATTTTATTTTTGTATAAGGGCATTTAACCACTGAGACACATTCCTAGCACTTTTTATTTGAGACAGGGTCTCACTAAGTTGCTTAGGGCCTCACTAAGTCACTAAGGCTGAATGTGAACTTGCGATCCTCTTGCTTCAGCTTCCTGAGTCACTGGGATTACAGGCATGCGCCACCATACCTGGCTTGAACATGGAAGATTTAAAAAAAAAATTTTTTTTTAGTTGTCGATGGATATTTATTTAATTAATTTATTTGTTTATATATAGTGCTGAGAATTAAACCCAGTGCTTCACACATGCCAGGCAAATGCTCTATCGCTGAGCTACAATTCCAGCCCTAAATGTGTTAGATTTTTTTAAACTGGCTCTTTCCACACTATTTTTGGTTCTTTGGAGTTCTTTGGAGATCATCATCACTAGGGGGCTCTCATCTGCAGTTTTATTTGATCTAGGTAAAAACACTTCTTTTTCAACTGATTGCTTTTATTTATTCCTTCCTCAGTCCCTGAGAATCCTGAGATACTTTTAGCTTCTCTTTGCTGAGATGTGTTTACAATATTTAGGCAGTCCTCCTGAACAGAAATTAGGAAAATTTCACACTATCTCTTGAATATATGTAAATGTGTGGCTCATATCTAATCTATGGAAACCCTCAAGATTTCTTTGTCCAGTAGGTTGAAGTCAGTGTAGCAGAAGCCTCTTCGCTTCTGTTGTCAGAGCAGCTAGCCAGTCAAGTGTATTGGTCCTTCTGCAGAGGCTCATGTTAAACTCGTGGAGTGGTGGAGGGGTAGAAGTTCTTAATATCCTATTCTCCTTTACTGCGTCATACCTTCAAAGTCCAAGAGTCAATTACCCTGTAAATCCTGACCTAGTGCCTCTCTCTGGAATTTGGTACCTATTGTCCTTATTTAATCTACAATCTCTCTATTGAGATTCTCTAAAACTTCAATTTTGCCGTGTTATTTACACACAAAATATGTATAAGGATTTTCTTCCTTTTCTTCTTTTTTCAGTATTGGAAATTGAATCCAGGAGTGCTTTACCCCTGAGGTACATCCTTAGCACTTTTTACTTTTTGTTTTGAGATGTCTTGCTAAATTGCTCAGGCAGGCCTCAAACTTGCAATCCTTCTGTCTCAGCCTCCCTAACTGCTTGATTGCAGCCATGAACCACTGTACCCAGTTAAGGGTGCTGATTCATAATATGCTTGGGGGGTGGGGATGGGAGGATTAAATGAAGTCTAGATAGGGCAAAGGAGAAAAGAGGAGGGAGGGAAAGAAAGGGAGGGAACATAGGGGTATGAAAGACAGTGGAATGTGATGGTCATCATTACCCTAAATGCATGTATGAAGACATGAAGGATGTGACTCTACTTTGTGTACAACCAGAGATATGAAAAATTGTGCTCTATATATGTAATATGGATTTTAATGCATCCCGGTGTCATATACAACAAATTAAAATTTTTTTTAAATGAAAAAAAAAAAGAATTTCTAACTGGAGTTTAGGTGCCTGGAAATTTCCAACATAGGAGATACTGAAAGCAATGAAAAATTATAATACCATGGAAAGGAGAGAGGGAAATTAAAATCTCTTAATTTTTTGCCAGCCCTAAGAAATGTTTATATTTTACTGAAAATAGGACATATAAAGTTTAAGATAGCATTTTTTTATAGTAATAATGGGCACTATATGATCAATTACTATTTACCATTCTCCCCATTTTTTTTCCCTCACTAGAATCTCTTCAAAGTCTTCCCTTTAAAGAGGACAATATTTATTTCATTTTGTGGCAGTTCAAGTACAAATCAAGAGACTTCTTTAGTTATTCTTACCATCCTTCAGGTCTCAGCGTATGCAGTTCTCTTTCTGATCTGCCTTTTCCAGCCTCTTCTGTGTGCATTCATTGCCTCTTATAATAAAAACTATCCTAGCACTTACCATTCTGTGTGGTAAATTCTCTCATTACTTACCTGCTTGATTTTAGATCATATGTTTTGAGACTACATGCCTGACAGGCATAGTAACCAGGCACTGATTTTTTTTTTTTTTGGTTGTGTGTGTGTGTGTGTGTGTGTGTGTGTGCACGCGCACGGGTGCGTGTGTACACATACATTCTAGGGATTGAACCCGGGGGCATTCTACCACTGAGCTACACCTCAAGTTCTTTTTAGTTATTTATTTAATTTTAAGACAGAGTCTCACTAAATTGCTGAGGCTGGCCTCAAACTAATGATTCTCCTGCCTCCACCTCTAGAGATGGTGGAATTACAAGTGTGCACCAGCACACTCAGCTATAACTAGTCACTGAGATAAAACATTTGGTAAGAATCTAAGAGAATATGAATGCAGAACCAGGCCAGGTGCCATAGCACACACCTGTAATCCCAGAGGCTCAGGAGGCTGAGGCAGGATCATGAGTTCAAAGCCAGTCTCAGCAATTTAGCAAGACACTAAGCAACTCAGTGAGACCCTGTCTCTAAATAAAAATACAAAAAATGGTTGGGGATATGACTCAGTGGTTAAGTGCCCCTGGGTTCAATCCCCAGTACAGGAAGGAAGGAAGGAAGGAAGGAAGGAAGGAAGGAAGGAAGGAAAATTTTAAAATCCAGAACAAACAGTAGAATGTTGCTTTTTTTGCTTTATCTTCTAAAAACCAACAATAGAAAACTCCCCCCAAATTAAAAATGCCTGTTCTTCAAATAACACTGCTAAAAGAATGAAAAGACAACCAATAGAATGGGACAAAATATTCGCAAATCTTATATATTCTAAAGGAGTTAGCACTTAGAACTCTCAAGACTCAATAAGAAAATAAACCAACCAATAAGAGAGATCCACCCACACTGGCCTCTGCGGGGCCCAGGCACACAGCAGGCCTGGTCCACCCCTTTCCCAGTGGGGCAGACACTCACCAGAGCCTAGCCTGTGGTGCAGGACTGCCCCTTCTGACCAGCAGACTATCGTGGGAGGTCAAGCCCAGGAGCCCAGATCTACCCACTCACACCTGTGCTGGACCCAGGAGCACAGCAAGCCCAGTCCACCTCTTCCCAGGGGGACAGACACCTGACAGAGCCTAGCCTCTGGTGCAGGACAGTCTCTTCCGACCAGCAGACTACCACAGAAGGTCAAACCCAGTGGCCCAGATCTACCCACTCCAACCTACACAGGTCCCAGATCCAGGATGCAGTAGCATCCGTTGTGGGACACCAGCAGGGTCTGGAAGCCCAACATTAAGGTGAGGTACAGACAATCTGCATGGGTACACTACAAGAATATGGGGAAGAAACTGTAATATCTCAGATCCACACTGCAAGAAAGGAAGATGCATAAACAACATGAAAAAACAAGGGAGGAAAGTGCCCCAAACAAACCAGGACAATATAATGACAGAATCTATGTACAGCAAAGTTGATGAAATGTCAGGGAAGGAGTTCAGAAGGTTCATAATTAAAATGATCTGTGGGGCTGGAGGTGTGGC